CAAGAGCTCCCCGTTCAGCCAGACCGGTCATCTTCCCCGTCTTCCTTAAGTTGAGATATTTTATTATCCTAAAACATAACATGTGGGTTGGACAGAAACGGAGACAATCTTCCTTTTCTAAGGTTTTACTACCTTAACTTAGAGATTCTCGCACCTTCTGCTCACTAGCTTGTGGTACAAAAGCTCCTGAACTGGGTTAAAGCTTGGTTTGCTCCCTGTATGGCAGCATTAAAGCAGTGGCCATAGCAATGAAAATAATCTCTGCTTTTGAACCAGCCAGCATGCCTGTCTACAGTAATTGTTAAAAAACACGCTTGGCTATGTTTTGCCTAGCCAGACAAGAAAAACTTCCTTCCTTTGAACTATGGCTTATGATTTCCCCCCTTTCCTTTTCATGTTTTGTGCTTTTCATACAGCACAATCATTCTGCTCCTATCATGTAAAGCCAATTCATTTGGCAGGTCTTCTAAGACGAGCAAGCATTCCCACTTCCCGTAAGAGAAACACAATTTTGACCACGAAGACTCATTCCTAGCTTACCGGATATTTGCACTTATAGGGACCATACCTTAGCTCCAATTTCCACACAACTCCTGTTGACACCTGTATGAATACCACACTGAGTGATAGGTAGAATATAATCCTGGAATGGTGTTTTTATAATGCAGGAGAGAAAATAGCAACAAAGATCCTTCAACCTTCCCCTATCCAGCTCTGCTGCTAATATTAGCAGTTTAGATCAAGATTAAATTCCAATTATAGCTCACTAAATAACCCACAAATAAAGTAACTAATTTAAGACAGCCAATTGTGAAATATATATGAAGAACTTTTGCTGCAAACATGTAAAACACAGTATATGGTAGTCTAGCCTCTGGTTTTACAGATGATTTTTTGCAAGGGCTTAAGCTTAAAAGGAGCTGACTGTTCAAGGAACAAGAGATTTGGGAGATACAATCTTACTGAGGCTGGATCATCTTCAGTATATTCACAGATAGCCAGGTACATATACAGAAGGGACATTGTGTCTGCTAATGTAATCCCACGATAAGTAAACAGGTAAAATTACTCTAGTGAAGTCTATTGATGGTCCTTGTAAAAGACCAAAGCATTTGCTGTGATGCTGCCATGTGAAATCATAAGATGACAGACTCAAAAGACAGAGCTTACTGAAACTGAAATCAGTGTTAATTTTATTTACTGAAACCAACAATCAACATTATAATATCATGCAATTTGGAAGTGCTTTTTTCCCCCCCAACAAGGTTTCCTTCCTATCTGTTGCAATTCAGTTCTCAAATTGCTGTTGCTGCTTCTGCTCCTTTCAGTGACTTGACGCTGTCATTTTATTTCATGTTCAAAGCTGTTGGCTCACTGCCATATATTCGAAATTCCTAATATTCATGCATGGATTAACAGGTAATCTAAAGTGGCCTGGATAATAGCTTTTGATAGGACCATTTATGAATATGGAGGAAAGGACGTAAGAATTAACAAGGGGGAAGCTTGGCATTAGCACACAGAAGTTCATGGGAGGATCTTAATGTACACATCCCACAGGGAAAGAAATAACACTGATCTCAAAAAAAAATAGTTGAAATAATATTCTTTATTCAAAACCACACAAAAATATCACATCACCCTTAAAAACAAAACAAAAAAAAAAAAAGGACTTCTCCATCTTCCAGGATCTGCCACAAATAACACTATTTTTCTCTCACATGCTTCCTGCTTCCCCGACATCCTTTTTCACTGATTAGCAGAGAGTTTAAGATTGTGGGTAATTAATATCTTATGGCTGCAAAGAAAGGCAGCTGCTGTGAAGCTGATGAAGCTGCTAGACAGGCTAACAAACAGGATAGAGGGGGTTTCTTATTGCTACCTCTATTTTCCTCCACTGATAAAAAAAAGACACTATTAGTACAATGCATCAGAGCGGGTTGTCCTGGGCAATTAAAAGGAGGTCCATACTATTCCATATTATGTGAAGCAATACTGGGCAACCAAAGAGAAGTTGGCACTGGTTAGAAACTATGACCATAAGCCATCATGTGTCCTGACATCAGCCATTTTGATTTAAACTGTCTCTGATGAGAGCAACAGCCTGAGTCAGCCTGCCAGCACATAAACAGGAGCAGCTCTAGATTCAGAGACAATGCATCTGCAAGACTGGGAGTGAAGCAATACTTCTCATGATCCAAGTTACATGATCCAAGCTAACAAGGTGCTTTTGTGTAAGTGGCCCAGTCCACAAGATTATAATTATGTTATTTTAGGGTTATTTTTAATTGAGAATATTATATAATATTAAAATAACTCTACAGGTGTATTTTGGATTTGTATTTTGCAAGCCCACCACAAGACTACTCTTCCGGTTTATCAGTTTCTTGGATCATATTTCAGAATTTTTCTTCCTCTGATCTGGAATACTAAAATTCCTAACAGAAGGTAGCATTAAATCTAGAAGCTGGATAATCTCTGCCATGAATAAGCAACCTACCAGTTGCATATGTTACCTAAAACTGGTTTGAGATGGGAAATTACAGAAATGTTTTTGTAACAATGACTACTTCCTGATGGGAGGAAGGAAGCTAAGCTGGATCATGATGGAACATCAAATGCCAAAGGGCACTCCAGGATAGCATCAAAAACAACCCAGATGTCTTATACAACTCCATTCATCTCAAGTAAAGGTTGTTTTAGAATTAAGGAATCTAAAACATGGATTAAAAAAAAGGATTCACAAGTATGATTTGATCTCTAAAACAGATTAAAAATTTTTTGGTATTAACAAGCATTTTGTTTTGGTTTTATGTTTTAGTAGAGACAGTTCAAGCGAGTTACTCTGACAGAAGACCCTGTGCTTGGACGGTTCCTGCAGAGGATGACATGGCAGCTTAGTGGAGTGGTGGGGGCAGGACTGGACAATGCCGGCCTGCAAGAGTCCAGATAGATTGCTGTGCTTAAGGGTAGTACTACGTGCATCTGTTCTGTTCTATGTAAAGAATGTACATGGTTTATATTGAGTAAGTCTAAAATCACTTGAGAGGACTGGAAACTGCCAGATATTAATTGATCAGAAGAGTGAAACTTTTAGGAAGGTGCCTCTATTTAGAGGACAGATGTTGTTTACGTAACAATGCACAAAAGCAAATACTTTGTGACATTTAATTTACTGATACACAACCAAACTGACAAGCTAAAAGACTCTGGTGGAGGATCCACTGCACACAAAATTGCTTAGTCATCCTTAAGAGACATAAGTTTTTGTCAAGTAACTAACCAACAAGTAGACATAAAATAACACTTCTAATTGTGCACTGATATTTTATGATCTTGGTTTCTTATTTTTTTCTTACTTTTATTTTATTATTGTATTATTAGGCATTGCAGCAGTGCCTAAAAGATCCAGTAATGGAGCAGGGGCCTACCATGTCAGGGACCATACAAAACCAGAATAAAGACACAGCCCATAACATAAAGAGCTAAAAATGTATTTAGTTGATCGTCACTTCCTGAAGTTTTCATGTTTTGTTAAATTCATTGCTCAAACCTTTGTAACCCTGTTCCATAACTTTTATTTCCTTTTATGCAATTAACGTTATGATTATTGTAAGACAAATGTTGAACTGTTACTTGACTGCTTTGTCAAGTCAGCTTTGTACGCACAGTACTTTGCAGACAGAAGCAATTTTACTTCACTCAAGATCTAAGCCAGCTTAAAGCAAGCCAGCTCCAGCGATATTTACACTGAGCCTCTGCTATGAATTTGGGGGCGGGGAGGGAAGGCACTCATCTACAGAAAGCGAGTTTCTGTTGACACTGGATCATCAGATGAACTTTTTCAGTACTTTCTTTTCCTGAGACTCAGACAGTCCTGAACTATGGGTACGGCAATGTTTGCAAAGCACTGGGACAAATCTTGGAAAAAACGAAGGTCACAGCTAGTGTTTCAATGATTCGTCATCTTTCATCTGATCACTTACAATAGGATAGTCAATACCCATTTTCTTCCATCCGACCTCAAGTTTTAGATAAATTTTCCTTTTCTTATCATTACAATAAAGAGAGAGACGAGTCATAGTTGCAGCAATCCTAACCTGGTTTGTTACATGACACTTCCAGAGTCTTGTGCAATGTAAGCCTTCCCTTCATATTTATATCATTTTAAACTACCTACCTTCTGCATTAAGATGCATGGTTTCCAGAGGTCCAATAAATGTGTATCGCATTCCCAATCCATCAGACATCACAAGGTCTAGATCAGTAGGAGATATTACTCCTTCCTAAGTAGCAGAAGTAGAACAGGAAGGAAGATTTGTGAATGTTTGGTTTTAATGCAAAATTGCCTGCTTTTTGTATATAATTAAAAAATTAAAGAAGTAATAAAAACTAAGGCTAGAAATAGCAGTTAGCTTGCAAACAGAAACACAACTGTTTGCCAGAAATGTCCATCTATTATGCAAGCCTTCCTATGGTTCAGTATAAACACTCATTCACATCTCTAAGATTGCTGTACTTCATAATCCAAATACACTTTGATACATTTTGACAGTATCTTATTTTTAAATTTATAAATTAATACACTTTTTCATACAATATGTACTATTTGTACACATTAGTTTGCCTGATACTTATTACTTACAATAATTCATGTACCAAAACTAAATTGAGATGTTTATGTTAACCAATATACTTTTTTCTCAGAAACTGAGAGAACACAGAGCAAATGTGACAGTCTTAATAGCACATGACCAAAAGAGTTTATATCAAATCCAAGTACTGTACCAGCTCTTTTAAATACAGGAGTTTTGGCTAAATCTTACACCTCCCTTCATATTCTCTTAGTTCTGGATTTTGGGGCAGAGTCACAATTGGAAGAATGGTGGTGCAGCAGTGGGTACTACCCCTGAGGCCACCTGCAAACAAGGCTGGGACCAAACACGCAGGCAATGCAGCTGCCACTCCCTCCCACAAAACTCACTGAACATTCAACCTACCCAGCCTCAGCCTGCCCAGGTTCTCAAGTTCGTTGCCAGCCTCACGTCTCAGAGCTGGCAGCATTCGGAGCATGCAAAATGAAGTATTTCTCCTGTTAAAAGTTGAGCACTGCTGTTCCACCCACATAGCAGCACTTACAAGAAAGCCAACGCCCCCATCAGGTTAGGGCAAGCACACGAAGGCTTGTAAAAAAATGAGTTACAGTTCATTACCTTACAGATTTACTTGAGAAGAGTAACATTTATTACATGAGGTTGTTTTCCACCTACCAGAAAGATATGAACGAACTAAGACCTGTTCTAACCACTTCCATCAGATAAAGCTTGGTTTCTTTATTCCAAGAGACATAAAAACATTTTCTTCTGGTTAAGAAGGTGGAAGAGATGCTGAACTGCTTCTAATTTGTCTTCTTACCCTACCTTGAGGTGCTCTCCCTACTCAGTGCCTCATTCTCTACAAGCCCCTTTGAGCTGCAGAATACAAGTATGTATACTCATCTGCTTGGCCAGAGACAGGTCTTTTTCTTTCCCTCCCTTTCTTTCCCTCTTCTTTCCCCAGGGCCCTGTCTGAATGCTCCTTCATATCACAGTGATTAGCTAGAGTTACAGGCGTGCAGGACAGCTCTCCTGAACTGTTGCAGACATTGACATCTGAGCTAGACATCTAGAGTCTCTTTATAATCACTAGGGAGAAAAAAGAAATCAGCATCCTAAAGCAGGCATCTAGAATAGATAAGATGAGTTGTGTCCTAAAAGGGCCTAATTCTCCTCACTGACTGAAAGATGACTAAGGAGCTTGGATGTCAACATCTGCGTTGTAGAAATCCCATCTTAAGTGAGTTGAATCCCGCCCACAGTGTCTTCCCTGGGTTCATCAACTACACATCTACTGTTACTTCAAAAGGAAACAATAAGCCAAGGACCAATATAACTTCTACAGCTGGCCACAGACATCAAGTTTCATTCTCAGGCTTAAATAGAGCCTTTTATAAGACTCAACCTCAAGTCTCAATCTGTTAGCAGGCATTGCTCCTATCAAAAATAAACCTGGCTGAATCCCTGTTGCAGGTGGCTTTTGAACGCTGTCTTGAAAAGGAAAAGATAATGTAATTATTAAGATCTACCCACCATAAATGGAACACACAGCTCTGGTAACAATTTAATCAGACATAAAATGGTAGGCATAAGGAAGCGTTATTTTCTTCAACTTAAAGGTAAGGCATAGGCATGGTAAAGTAACTCATCAAGAGGCAGACAGGAAGGTCTGCATAAAGACAGGACTAAACACAAACCTCAGACAGCGTTCAGATTACAGAACCAGCATCAGTGTAACTAACACAGGCACTATACGTTTTGTGAAAGTTTTTTCCCCTGACATGGCAACGCAACTTCTCTGAACAACATCAGCATAGTCAACAAAAGCGCTCCTCTGTTGGGAGTGCTTCATCCAAACAATGAGTTATGCTGGTAAAGCTGTGCTTGATGAGTGATTTTTTTTTTTTCCTGGTTGACATGGATTTGTGGACAAAAGATTAACCACAGTTCCAGACAAGCATTTGAACCACAGCAGCAGTTAAAAACTGTAAACGTAATGTTAAAGAGTTAACAGGCTCTTGAAACACTTCAGAATCATTGCAAATTGATTTTCAAATTAAAAACTGATTTATTTCTTTTGATACTATAGTCCTCAGCTTTGGTACTGACATTTGAAGACCAGGTGCCCTCAGAATCATGAGATGAGTGCTTTCCTCTTGGCCTTCTGACTACAGGTGTAGTTTTTTGGTTACAGCTGCTAAAAGACAAAAATTGCTGCTACCATAAGGAAAACATGACAGATCCCTCCAGTTATTATAGATAATATATCCAGAAGGATATATTATTCTATATATGTGAGCTCAGTTTCACCTTGTCACATAGACCCTCTTAAAGAAAAGCCTTTTACTTTTTCTCTTCAGAAATGAAAAACACATAAATGAGAAACAAGTTAGACCGTCTTCCCCTAGGGAATAACCCTACTCCCACTTTGACGATCGTAAGTTGGTGGAATGATTCAGCAGGGTGGGTGCAAGGTCAGAAAGGTGTCTTCCACAAGGATCGGTGTTTATGCTAAGAAGTAAACAAGAAAGAATTCCAACCCAGTTTCATTAAGTCTAGGTGTGAAACAATCTTCCCAAGGGGATTCTTCATCCTCTTCATCCTGGGTAACCCTTCTTGTAAGCCTTGCCCTTGAGCACTTGTCAGAGGGAAGAAGAAGTGTGTTAGAGTTCACCAGAAGCTTTCACAGCTACAGAATTAAGATCTTAATTTAAAACAAATTCCACCAAAATCCTCAGTGACCCCAACGGCCAGTCAAACTTCAAGATCTAGACTAGCTCAGGATCCTCCACACTTCTTATGACATTTATATACCACAATTTTATCTTCCTGGAGATTTCAATCTCCTGTGATGCCATGGTATTGTCCTAATGCTCCTTCAGTATTTTATTAGTGCTTCTCACTATGCAGGGATCCTTTTCTCCTTTCCAAAAACCTGTGGTGGTTCTGCAGTCTCCACCTTTAGGCACTAACCCAACCTGCTTGGTTTTAATCAACAGTCTTTACATCTGTAAGTCACACCCACATCACAACTTCTGTCACTGACTTGGTTTGTAACCGTATTAAATGTGACATGGCCAGAAAAACAATCTTACTTTTTCTGATACTACCAATTCATCATATTCTCCTACTCACTCCAGTCTGCCTATAGAGTTATTTTGGATTCCATTCCCTCCAGGGATACATACTTTCTGTCTCCAAATTTGCCACTTCATCCTCTGTATTTCTGAAATCCAGTATTTTTTTTCCGATTGCCACTAATATATGCATTCTCTCTCAGCAGCCCTTGTTACACCCATCTCTTCACTATCACTTTAATCAAGTCACTTTGATCCACACCCTGATGAGATCTTTTTCCAGTCCTGTCATTTTGAGCATATGACTTTTCTCCCAGATCCCTCTACCAGCTCCATGTCTTTCCATTTCATCATGTTTGAGAAACTTGTTGTCCTACACACTTCACACCTCCTTACTTTGCTGGCCTTTATCTTCCTTCTTCCATGGCACCCTTACTCACCTCACCCTGTAAGAAACACTCAGTATCAACACTATTTTTCTCCCTGGCCCTTTAAACTTCCTTTTATGATATCCCCCTTTTATGGGGCACTATAACTAGATGTTTAACCCTCTACCTTATCTTTGATCTTTTGGAAAGGTCTTCTGGATAACACTAATACAGTTATTAATAATAAGGAATTTGGAATTAAAAAAGTCTTGCCAGCATTTAAGGACTGCCAAACCTGAGAAGGGAGAGGTACATAAGTTAGGGACTGAAGCCAATGCACCTGATTGCTGTGAAAATTAACTAAAATGGACACACAGCCAAACCATGACTGTTTATTTTCCAAAAGATTAACAAAAAAGGCAGGACTGCCCATTCTTCTTCTCTCTTACAATGACTATAACCTAAATGAAAACCCACTTCTAAAGAAAAAATACATTAAGACAGTATCAAAAGCTTATACAGAGGAAAATACAGACTCTAAAGACACTTCTCATATGATCCATTATGCAAAATAGTTTTAGTAGGTTCTTAAAAGCAGCTGAAACTTCTAAACTAGATATGGGCTGAAAAAATGCCATGTTCTCCTCACTCTCTCTACTGCTGTATTTCATGACCTCCTTGCAAATTCCAGGGGATGCTCAGAAAAATATTTCACCAACATAAGCTTCCACTCAGTAATCCACAGTAAAAAGACAGTCCTAGATGTTCAGAGTAAGGTTTGAGACTTCTGATATAAAGCATTGGTGAAACTATTTAGTCGTTATTTTCTGGATGAAGTCAACCAAAACTTTACCTTCAGAAAAAGACAAAGGCAAGCTATTTAACTAACTCTTTTGCAACATAATGTGGAGTCTGAGCCTGAACCCAACCTCCTGGCAGAGCCTTACCTCAGATTTCTGGCTGTGTTATAGCCTTTCCTACTCTTGGACCCATGTGGCAGAAGTTGGTGAGCCCCACGCATCATCCAGCAAGCAGCTGTATTTACCACGTTGCTTTCTATACAGCCCCATGTTCATGTTTATGCTCTGTATCAGAGCCCTTCTCCCATCGTATGATCCCTGTCCTGTGCCTCACCCATCACACATCCCAACACAGCACTGCTAAAGAAAAGAGAGAGACTGGCAAGTTGCCAGTTGCCGAGCTACATTTGGGAACTAAAGTGTATCCTGCAAGCTGCTCAGTCCATTTCTGATAAAGTTTTCCAGATAAATGTTGTTAGTACAGCTATACCTGCACGTCTGTCCTACCATCAATGCCTGTTTTAATAGTACATTAAAACTTCTACTGGAGAAGCTTCCACTAGTTTCTTGAATGAAATAAGCTCAACTGACCAAAAAAAAAAAACAACAGACAAAAAAAAGACTGTCCATGCAAAGATGTCTGAACTTGGACTTGGATAAAAGTATATGTGCACATGTGTGCATGTATAAGATCACTCCCCTGCCATTACTATAAGTATTTTTGAGGCGAGGACACAGATGAGAACTTTTAAACTTGCATCTCAGCAAAGTTCTCAAAAAAACAGATAGTTGTTTACATAAAGGGGCTGATTTAAGATCATTTCAAGTGGCTTCAAAACACTTGGAGACTGCTGCTATGTTTCTCTCCTGGTTCACACATAGCATTTATATCTGGAATATTTATGTCTTTATTATGTGGCAAAGAACTGATACACTGCAGTGCAAATACAACAGTCCTCCAGCAACAACACAGATTTTTCTCAAGCACTCACCGTGTTAAAATTAAAGAAAACTTATAACAGAAATAGGACCGCTGATCAGTTTATGACATGTAACTGTAGGTATACAAAGATACTTGTTCAGATTTTCACAACCACTAACAAAACAAGTAAGCTTGAAATTATGTTTTATGGTTCTGTCTCATTGTTCTTTTACAACAGTCAAAAACAATACACAATTACTAGCATCAAAATACCACAGTGTTCATAAGTAATTTTGTAAGGATGTCTGTGTTCTGCACCCAGGCTGACTGGGATTGCCTCATCCAATACACCCAATTTACACATCTAACCACAAAAGGATTAATAGTGTGGTCATTTAGGACAAGAATGCTTTATTAATATGTCCCTCCTGCTAATATTCGTAGTTTATCTTCCACCCCCAGTGCTTCTTAGGGTAAGGAAAACTTTTGTTACCCGAAGGAATCAATATGAGTAAAACTTGATTTTTAGGAGCCTCTCAAAGACTGAGAGTTGGGGAGGCTGACATTTTCAACAATAAGGACTGAAAAGCAACTTAACAATCAGAAGCAAGAAGTATTTTTCCCCACTTTGAAAGTGGAAACACCAAAAAAACATGACTTGCAATAAAAATTACTAAGTTGGCAGCACAACAGTAGAAACACAGAAACTGCCCCAGGCCTGCAGCTCTCACCTATCTGCAGTGATTCTCCTCCCATCAAAGGCAGTGTGTAGCTTGAAGTCACACAGCTGAAACTATACACCTTTGAAAGCTGGTATTTGTCCAGGCTTTTGGAATGGAAATACAGCCAAAGTTGTTACAGTTTAAATGTGTATTTGCCTGAAATGCAATAAAATTATACAAAAACAGGACAACTTGGAAACTTCGATGATGCACAAGGAAAGCAACTCTCATTATCTGTCAGTGCTTCAAGCACTATTTTGTTACTACTATTCATATACCACCACCCACACAAAAAGCATCCATGCAGGTTCGTACTAAACGTTCACCTCAAATCAACAGCTCTTTTCCAATAGTAGCCCATGAAGTGTTTTTACACCCTTTCCCTAACCAAAAACCAAATACAGAGTGATAGTTTTAATGACATGTACTGCGTCAGCTCCCAGCAGTCCAGTCTTTTTCAACAGCTGCAGGTTGCTTCTGCATGGTCTTCCTCTAACATGAATGTGTCTAAATATTGTCTGAACCCATTCATATTTTTAGCATCCTAGGTTTCTATGGCAGCGGCTTCCACAATTCAGTTTATGCCTCTCAGAGACATGAAAGAATCCTACTAGATTTTTGAGGCATTACTTCCTCAGATACCTGTGGGTATTGTATCAATATGCCTATGCATTATCAGACTTACTGGTCCACCATTTCCTAACGATGCTCTGAACTCTTTTAAAAGAACTCAGATTTAAGTACTAACTTCCATTTCTGCAGTATTATGCTAGTCGGTGTGTAAAAAGGTACTTAAATCAGTATTTCATCAACTTCATATTTGAGTTTTGGGATTCTCAGATTAGTTCCATTTCTCCTTCACAGCCTGCCATTACTCATTTACTCTTTCGTGCTCCAAAAATCTTGTTCTTAGCATGACTTGTTCTACTTCTGCATCAGATCCTTCCTTTCAAGGAAAGTTACAGTGTGGGAACCTCCTTAACAATGCACACCGCAGTTCAGTTAGCTTTTTCACCATGAACTTACCTTCCTTGTTCACATTTTTTAGTAGTCATTTTTACACTTTTACGCTCAAAAATGTTTTTTTCATCCAGGGTTATTAGGGTTTAAAAAACAATTTAGAGGTTACTATCCTTTCTATCCTGTGTCTTTCAACATGATTACAGCTTTCTGAAGGGGTTTTTCTTATCATATACTTAAAACTTTGTATTAACTTTTTTAATAACAGAAACCTTTTTTTTAGTTTAAAGAATCATCTCCAGTAGAAGATCAGTTCTTTCCTAACAATATTGGTTTGCTTACTATTATTCACCACCTCCTTTATATTGTTGCATTGTGTTGCTATGGAATCTAACCAGAGGTAAGCAAAATCAGTTCAGCAACTGTGTTTAGATACTGCTTCGGAAAAAAAGTTGCTTTGTTTACGATATGTTAGTATTACCTTAGTTTTAAGATCTTTACCTATATCTGTGTGCATGATTGTTTTAAACAGCTTGAAAAAATCAAAACACTCTCCATGACAAAAAAGTAAGCCCTACTCAAGCCCAATTGAATCTCTTCTCAACAGAATAGCAGTAGACTCATAATTCAGCTCTTCCTGATGAAAGATCAGATTTTGCAGCACAGAACAGGTAACTGTGGGAAAAGCTGACGGGGCACAAACAAATGATTCTTGGCTAGAAGTCTGAATGGGCAGGAGGAGGAGAAATCTGTCTTTAACTACAAGTATCAAATCACTGTTGAACCTATGAGTGCAATTCCTGAAAGGCGAAAGAGAAAACCATTTAAAATATTATTTTCATAACCACGGTACAGTAGGCCAGAAACATTTGGAAAATAACAGGAAATGATGAGACAACCTAGAAAAAAGAAAAATCAGTATTTTGATTTCTGTGCTTTTAAGATTGTTCTTTTAATTGTCCTGAAAATGACAGTATTCTGAAAAGAAAGCAGGATAAAGGATAGTCGTTATGATCATATCACTTCTTTCTCAGTCTTTGCTATTTATAACTGACACCACTTCTTACTGTTTTTTATTTACATGTTAATATATATTTCATGTTCATAAGGGACAGTTTAACGAAGATGACACAAATTTATAGGAAATTTAAATACACAATCTCGCTTGTCACATCTACAAAACCAGTAGTGTATGTGTGTAGAAATTGGAAAAAAAAATATACATACACCCACAAGTCTCCAGGCTTCACTTATCACTGCATACTGGAGCCGATTCAGAACAAACCCCTCAATTTCTCTGTTTAGTTTGACAGGAGATTGACCAATCTTCTTCATCAGGGCATATGTTCTCTCTGTAGTAGAAGGATCTGTTTCTGGATGAGGAACAATTTCAACCAACGGCACAAAGTAAGGTGGATTTACCTCAAGAAGAAACACAAAAGAAGAATGTCAACTATCAACAGATTAACAGAACAAGTTAATATAAAGCATCTTTATAGCTTGCTACTAGTGTGAATATTTTCCAGTGAACAGAGTAAGCCTGACCTTCAGACCCTGAAAGACTTTACCAATCCAATAAAAGCTGGTGTATTAATTCAAGTTTAAAAAAATAATTAATCTTGCGTTAAATCTAACTCTGTTTAACCTCAGCAAAGTTCATGGAGCTACACTAAAGATGATAGCACTCAAACAGTACTAGAAGACTTTATACTGACTTGAGTAAGTGGTGTTTTCTCAATATTCAGGCTGTTTGTTGTTGTAAGACATATGGCCACTACCTGTCTTTCCAAATGAAGCAAGGTATTTCCTTTCAGATATTCAGGAACTTTTAACAAAATTATTGCTTAACACCACTTGTAAGATGCAACACTTAATAGATAAGCTGCTACTGGCCCAAGCCTGTAAATATATGCTAAACACAGTAATAGATGTCACATAAAACAAACTTCGAAAAAGTTGCAGAACAGGTTACCTTCAAACACTGTACCTACTTTAAAAAAAAAGTTACCTCTCCCTGACTCTTCCCCAATGTAATTTCTCATCAAGTCAAGACCTTTGTGTAATGTATTTTTGAAGTAATAAACAAAAAATTCTAAAGAACATCCTAGAAACAGCTAAAAGTTCTTCAGGTCATAGTGTTACAGGCAGTAACACTGCCTGCACGCTCTTTCCAAAAGCAGCAGTCCTTCAGCCATATTCTTAAGGTGTTAAACTCAGCTCCCGGTCTAGTTTCCAGGCAACAGAAGGAGCTAACATATCATAAATTACTACCAGAAATAACATTGACATTAAAGGATGGTAATTAAGAACTGATTCTTTCACCATCCTCTCTTATAGTCAACTGCTCTTAACTGTGTTCATGTAAATACAAGTACAGGATTTAGTCACAGCAATGTGCAAGCAGTCTTTCCTCTCTGCATGTTCTTTCTTTTCAGTACTTACGTGGTTCCTTTTACTATAGGGTCTGACCAACGCATAACCTGTTGTAGGCTACGTCTGCTACACACTTACTTCATGCCCTTTAAAGTGCCTTTTGTTCCAATATAACCTTTCTCACATCAATCTCTTTGGCAGTGCCACCACCAATGGTGAGAACGGCGTGATGGACACCATCGCAGGTGTGGTGCCAGGCAATTTAGCAAGACCCAAACCGCTGCAAGCACCAAGAAGTTCTCTGAAGGCTTTTCTAACCCTTAAGTATATCACAGGTTCCAATCAGGAAGAGGACAAGTTAATTGTTGAGAGAGACTGAGGCTATTACAAATTTCTTCCAAGATTAGTGTTGACAGTCATCTTACTGAAATATTCTATTTCACTAACTTGGCACAGGTAGTATACGGGTGTGTTCACGAGCACCCTCAGGAGACTTAGGAAGACAATTTTTTAGGAGTGAGATAATAGATGTTGGTAAAAACTAAAAGTGGTAAAACGTGGATGAAATTGGGGGTGGGGGAAGATTTCTAAAAATGAGCAGGGGACTGCAAAGCCTTTCTTCAGGGAGCAGAAGAGCTTACCTTACTCAGCCTAGCAAAATGAAAGCTAAGAAAGGATATGACAAAGTAGACACAGAGAAAGAATTAAGCTAAACAAAAGCTGCCAACAAACATAAAATTAATTTTAATGGACTATTTATAAAATTGGAACAAAAATTAGAAGACACGAACAACTTCCAACAGGAATAGTGGAGTTAAAAAAAAAAAAAATGTAACAGATAGAGCTAACACATTTTTAAGGTGAATTGATTACATTGTTTCCTGTACAGCAAGGGACTTCACGCAATGGTACACAGTCTCCTCTAGCTCCATATTTCTGGCTGTGTGACCTAGGCGTACACAGTACATGAGAAATGAAACGCTCTGCAGAAGACCTCTACAGATACACTGCCTGAAACTGCTTGCAGAGAACAGCTGTACCTACAAGTATTGCGTGCATTTCTATCATACAGGTGTGCTACGGGATTTCATTTATTTTTCTTAATTGCTGAACCTATTACTATGTTAAGCAAAAGGATGAGCTCCTTCTGCCCTTTGGGCATTTCATTTAATTTCTCCTCAGTATGCTCACCTGTGCCAGAGGCTTTACAACTTTAGCTTTTAATTTTTCTGGTATATCAAATTCCACACTTCTTGTTTTCAGTGTCTTCCAGAGCTGCTTGCCTCCTGCAGCCACCATTCCCCATGTCCTATTGTCGTGTTCAAGATGTTAGTAAGGCCGTGGTTAAAAACACCAAAAGCCAACAATACTACAAAACAAGCATGTTTCCTGATGTAAAAGGTGCAGAAAGGCCCCTGGAAGAGTACACTGGCTCACAGTTTCTCCAGTACACTCCCCTTTGAGCGAAGCTGAGATTGCCAAGAAAATAGTCTCAGTTGGATTGCAAAGCCATTTCAGAACAATTAGACATTTTAAGGCATTCCAGAGTATTTGCTTTGGAAAATACACATATCTTTACAACAGCAACCTAGAAAATGTTTACGCAGGGACTAGCTCCCTTTCCAGATCTGATAAAATCTGGTTTCAGAAGTGGCTCCTATAAAGACTGCAGCTCAGACTAAACAAGTCAACTGATACAGACCAACTTGGGAAAACAGTAAGACAGAGTAACGTAAAATCAAAGACTGACAAACAGCCAGAGAATAGGCAGAGGCCCAGGAATTGGTTACAAAAAAAAAAAAATCATAGCTATAATTACTTAATACAGAAGTCTAGAAAAGACATTATCTCTTCTTTTGCACTACGGAAAGTTACAACTCTGGAAATATGAGATAAGGAGCTACTGAATTTTAGACCAGAGAAAGGCTAAACCTAGGCACTAATACATACTTTGAAGCTTGACTTTTTTTTTTTTTTTTTAATTAAAAGGGGATGAAGACTAGTTGTACAGAAAGAAACCAATCTTTTTGTTCCTTTTGCTTCCCAGTCACCCCAAGGCGAAGGTGGTGGTGGAGCAGTGTCAGAAAGGGACTGACCAAATGATTTGACACTGTAGCATTAGGCTATAGGTAGCTGTAGAGACATTAAAGTAAAATAGTGCTGTATTTTTGTGTTCACACTGCCACTCTTGAGGATGCCCAGGGAACTGACATTTACTTTACACCCTGAGCGATGCCCTGGAGAGACAACCTGTAGTTATCAAATTGCAGACAGCAGAGCAGTACCTTTCTCCAGATACTGCAAGCCTTCATGACAACAGTCCTCTTAACTGAGGACTCAAGAAGAGTACAGGGATCCCGTTAGGTTGTGCAGAGAGGGAATTAGAAAAGCAAAAGCCCAGCTAGAACGCAATCTGGGGACTGTCATTAGTGACAAAAAAAAAAAATTTTAACATGAGAGACAACAAAAAACGTTTTTACAAGTAAAAACATTTTTTGTTGTCTCTTAGGACAGTGGCCAGGTTGAGCTCTAGCTGGGCTTTTGCCTTTCTAATTTCCACTCTGCACGACCTAACGAGATCCCTGTAATCTTCTTGAGTTGCCTGCCCCTTCTTCCACAAGTGATAAACCCTCCTTTTTTTCCCCTGAGTCCACGCCAGAGCTCCCCCTTCAGCCAGGCCGGTCGAAGAGGAGGCTGAAGGGAGACCTCATCGCGCTCTGCAACTACCTGAAAGGAGGTTGTAGCGAGGTGGGGGTTGGTTCTTCTCCAAAGTAACTAGCGATAGGACGAGAGGAAATGGCCTCAAGTTGCGCCAAGGGAGGTTTAGATTGGACATTAGGAAAAACTTCTTCACTGAAAGAGTGGTCAGGCCTTGGAACAGGCTGCCCAGGGAAGTGGTTGAGTCACCATCCCTGGAGGTATTTAAAAGACGTGTAGATGAGCTGCTTAGGGACATGGTTTAGGGGCATGGTGGTGGTGGGTTAACGGTTGGACTTAATGATCTTAGAGGTCTTTTCCAACCTTAATGATTCTATGATTCTATGATCTGTCAAACACCAGACTTAACATTAGGCTAACAAATTCATTAGCTATTGAGTAGTGGAAAACAGAAGCAGTAAGAATCCCAGTGATCAAGACAAAATGCTCTTCCATGATGAGGAGAGATGTGATAAACTTCTGTATGGCAGCCCCACATAGACCTCTACAGAGGCTCACAGGTGCCCTTCAGCTTTTTGAGGTTCTGCTGCCACCTCTAGTTATGCCATTTCTGCATCACTGCCCTATCCTAGCTAGTCACAAAGCATGCAAATTCAGCTCCAAGTACAATTTGTTCCATTTAATCCGAACTGCTTTTCTTCTTCAGGTATACTGCTTCTGCATCAGAAGTCTGAAGAAACCAGAGTCAAAAGCTTCCATCTTTCATCGACATACCTGACAAGCACATGCAGCTCATCGGTTTGGATCCTTACTATTACCCAAGAGCGGCTGAAAAGGGATACTAGAAAACACTAGTGATGCCACAAGAAGAAAGTAGGGAATTTTATAGGTTTGTCTTCAAAACACAGAATTCCTACATTTTGAGAGTAATAGTCTGAGCAACACACAATATGAGCACGAGAGCTTACACAGAATGTATCTTGAGCCAGTGTGAAACATGCATACATCCTCTCAATTTAGTATATGCTGCTGCTCACAGAATGACCAAACTAAAGCTTTTCTGATAAGTCAGGCCCCTGCATACTAACGATGGCACACAAGCACTCCAAATATTCTTCTATATCTCTCAGTCTGCAGGGAAGAGTTTGGGATGAAGTTTAATTAAACATCTGTACTACTACTACAGAACCAAAACATGCCATCATACTTACAGGATGGGACACAATACACTGCTTAACATGTTTAAGGCCAGTGAACAATCTGCTGGGTAAGAGACAAGAGGTCGAGCTGCTCAAGATAACATTGTCACCAACAATAAGATCTAACTGACCGAAAATCTTCTTTTTCAGTTCCAGGTTCTCAGGAGTACATTCCTGGAATAAAAACAAAAATCAGTATTAGAAGTGTTCTAGTTCAAAAATATATATCCATATTTTTCAGACTTCACCGATCCCACCTTGACACCTAGGAACTCAGCATAAACAATCTATTTTAATCAGCCTAAATATACCAGTGAGCTGTAACACAAAAATGCCTTCCCACATATAAAGAAATGGAAAGCCCAGGAGTTTCCCTATAGCAGAAGATGGACCACCACACACCACAGGAGATTTACCACACGACAAATGATTCTGCTTTGTCTAAAATATAGACTTTTACTCATGCACAGAGATAATACAGCATGGAGAAATAAGAGTTGGTCTCTTTTTTTTTTTTGAAGAGAATCTCACATGATAGAAGTCAGTATTTCCTCTCAGACAAGATGGAAATGAATAGGTGTGTCTCAGAAGACAAACTTACAATCTCCAGAACTATGGCATGAGATTCCAAGGTACAGTTCTGGAACCTGCACTGAAACACCTCTCAGTGACCCTCATCCTTCAAAAGCTTAAATGTCTCCATTAATTTCAACTCTTGAGAAAGATTTCTGAAGTAGGATGCACGCTATGAGAACTTCCGACAAAGCTATTGAGCATGTTCAGCTCTGCAGTATTGTGTGAAATTTTACATGTATGAGCCAAGAGCTACAGTCTACAGTCACTAGAGTTTCAAAGTTAACTGCAGGAGCTGCCTGAAAGAGAGCATGCAGAAGTCCACCAGTCTGGGAGCAACAAGGACATGGGAGAATAACTACAGTGGATCCCACAATCAAAAGGAAAGACTTCAGTCTACAAGAAGAATACGGGAACAAAGCCAGCTTGTTTTCTGGCTTTTTTGGAAGGGTTTAAAAAAAATCCAAACAGGATCCCAAACTTGCAAAACCTCAGCTTTCCCCTTAAAACACACAGAAAAAACCTGCTCTTTTCCAACTCTAACCCCCTCCCACCTGTCAGTACTTCATTCTGTCCTTCCTGTTATGCTGAACTGCACACGAGGATAGGGAAAAAACCTATACATTTAATGTAATCCAAAATTTACATTTAATACCTGCAGCTTCAGACAGACTCTGTGGTAGGAATGCCCAGGGCCAGAGTTTTTAACCCAGTAAATGAGTTAAAAGTAACTTGAAGTCTTAAAAAATAAGCAAGTTGCATGGAACAGTACTTAAAGTTCCACGATGCAGAAGAGATAAACAGGGTCATTTAAGAACTCCAGATAGAGCCCAAAGTAATAGACAGCCTTATCAAAACAAAATGATACTCTGCTTATAATTCCAGGATCCCTGCTTGTTGGTTAAGTTTAAATAGTTTCTTTTAGTAAAGCCAAAGATGAAGAGAACTCTGCAGATACTGTTCAAGCTAAGAAAAGAGTTGCTCTCAATAGGTTTATTGTGAACTTGAAACTCTAAGCCTCCTCTCACATCAGATGATAATCAAAAAGGCAAACTCAAATCTGCTGGAAACTCAAACCTGCCACAGTTACGTAAGGTTTCTGAATGGGCCATTTGCTTGAAGTTTTTCGTATAGTGTCACGATTGTATTCAGATTGTTGGACTACTGCAATAAAGTTTCTGTCCTCGTCAAGCATGCAATTATTTTCTCAGAGACACCAATTCCCTGAAGAACAGGGGGAAAATTAAGCTCTAAACAATCCATTAAACAGGAACCTCACTTGCTGTCAGTTATGGAGCCTGGAGAGGTCTGAAGCTATTCTGTTTACCCTGAGAAAGAAAAGATCAAACAGTGAGCAGATAAGATACAGTTTTAAAGCTACCACAGTCTCTCTCAAAGAATTAGTGCAAAAAGATTAGCATACACCTCTACGCATTTTAAGTGACACTGTATATTTCTGTGGCCTTTTTGTAGAGAAGATCACACTTCTCGTTTGTAGTGAACAGTACACCTTTATTCTAAGGCCTGAGCACCTGAACAAGGTTGCCACTAATCTGACTTCCAATTTAAACTTTATTAGACATCTTTTTTAATAGCCGGATCAGAACATGACAGTTGTTAATTTTTAAAACCCACCTTCTGGAAGAGTTGTATTGAATTAAAGGCTTAAAGGTAATAGGCATTACGCTATTCAAATATGTGTTCAGAGAACACATAGTAGCTATTTGACCAGCCTATGAACTCTTAAAGAAGTACACAAAGATAAACACATACTAGCTCTCTCCCTAGCGGACAATACTGATACCCAGACAAGGCGATTGAGGTCTAGTTGCCCCTAATTAAAAAGTTGCACTCCTATGCAACCCCATCTCTGGAAACATTCAAGGTCAGGTTGGACAGGGCTCTGAGCAACCTGATCTAGTTGAAGATGTCCCTGCCCATGGCAGGGGGGGTTGGACTAGATGACCTTTAAAGGTCCCTTCCAACCCAAACTATTCTATGATTCTTCAACAGAACCCCTTGAATGCCAGTACATCGAAAGCTAGGGAGTTTTATCTGTTTAAATCCGGTATCTTTGTGTTTTTACAGAAGCCTTTCCCACCATGCTATCTGCCATCTGTGCTTTCACGCATGTCCATGCTCATCTAAGCGCACAACTTCATTTACCTATATTTAAATGCTGGCATCTACCCAGGTTCTTCCTATCCATTCTCAGATATGCCAAGGTAGCAACTCACCTGTACCACCTTCTAGAAAAACACTCCCCAAAACACTATCTTGCAAGATATCTTCTCCTTACACTAGCAATGGGAATCGCTGCCAAGGCCATGGATTTATTAGCACTAGGAGGTAAAAGAAACAAAGCATGGTCTGAAGTAAAGCACTGCAACACAGTGATACAGTCCTAAAATAGGTGGTATTATCCTATACAAGCATGGCAGTATAAGATGAAAGCCAACGTTTTAAACTGGCATGGAGAAGGTCAAAGATTAGCAACCATTCAGCAACAAGCAAGCCACTTTCTGTAAAAGCATCTGGAGATGCTGTCACAGGGAGCAGCATCAAGCCCTCTCAATAGCAAGTATGGAGTCTGATGGTAGTCATAAGGAATTGCTGAATAAAGAAGTTTGAAAGCCACAGCTGCGCAATGATGAGTTCCCACCTCCTGACTAGATTCTGGCTGCTGCATATTCAAAACATAATCAAGAAAAAAGAAAACATTTCTTCCCTGGCAATCTTAATATGAAGATTTATGATAATGTAAATTCCTGCAAGTGAAGATAGATCAATCTTGAGCTCTCCTAGATCCCTCTTCATTCCAGGACTGTATCCCATGCCATAGGATTCTTCCAAAGTTGTCTCCCCTGAAGTCCAGGGCTGTGATCCCACTTTTTGTCTTGCTTCTCTTCTCGGGATCTTCAACTCCACCATTGCATGGTCACTGTAGCCAAGGCTTCCCCCCGACCTTCACATCTCCAAACAGTTCTTCCTTGTTTGTAAGTATGAGGTCCAGCACAGCATGTCCCATCTTCTGCTCCTCAACGACCTGTGTCAGGAAGTTATCATGAATGCATTCCAGAATCCTCCTGAATTGTTGGTGCTATCCCTCCAGCAGATATTGATGTGGTTGAAGCCCTGCCATGAAAACAAGGGCCTGCGAACACGAAGCTTCTTCCAGTTGTCTGAAGAAGGCCTTTTCTTCCTGATCAGGTGGTCTGTAGCAGACATTTACCACAATATCTTCCACATAGGTGGTCCTGTTAATCCTGACCCATAAGCTCTCAATTGGCTCCTCATTCAAACCAAGGCAGAGCTCTGTGCATGCTACCTCACAGCATGTAAAATATATCCTAGGCAGCTATTCCTCTCCTACCTTTGTCTTGCACCACCTAACCTCCAAAAGCGGTACTTTACTGCCATGCTGCACTTCACTCCCACGCTACAGCTGCTACAGCAAGAGTGCCCTGTAGCCTTGCCCTAAGCACAACTGCGGTAGAAAATTGCTTTCAAGAGTTCCATGACTTTCCTCTTCCCAGTAAATTCAAGAGGGCTTCAAGTAGCAGGTAAACTGTTTAGAAGCCATAACCACTTTGATTGCTACAAGGACACTCTTCATCTTCTGCAGTTAAGTGAAGATCTCAAACATGCCACAAACCCTGGCTCTGTTCCTCTATTTATACACATATAATTTACAGCATTTTAAGTGGTCTCAGCTTTTCCGTGCTGCAATTTAGCTGACAGTTTTGAGGCACTTCTGTAGAACAGTTCCCAGAGTCAAGTGACAGTAATCCTCTCCTCTCATAGAATGAAGATGTAGCAGCAGCTTTCAGAGCACCGAACTATTTCAAAAGGTGGACCCAGACTGTCAGCACTCCTGGACACATTATGTCCAGCTTTTTGTGGGAATATGAAGATCTTCACAGGATTAAGAAACAAAGAGTTCTGAATCTCAGAAAAGCAGCTTTTCTGAAAGTTTTAGTGCCTAATCCATTTATACAAATACTTTCATCATCTTCTATAGTTATAATCCACTAGAAAAAGAACTTCCCAGAAAAGACTTCAGGCATAATTGTTTTATTTTCAATTTACCAAGTCACTTTCAAATGTCGTATTTCTAAAACAAAGCCTGATTAACATAAACCTACATAAAGCAGGGACCTGTGGATTTTAAACAGCATTCAGGTTATCTGTATAAAGACAGACATTAAAAATACCTGAAAAGGAGACCTGAAAGTTTAATTAATTGAAACATAGATTTCAAAGCACTATTACTATAGCCAGCGACTCTACAGCCAAATACAACTATTTCATATAATTTTACTACATCTTAATAATAATAATGAAAAGATTCTTGTAAAAACCTAGTTGACTTCAGAAAGAAAAAGTACATATGCTAAAATAATCTCTCGGCAAATTAAACCCTGCAATTTTACAACTAATTCTGTTCCCCCCAATACTACTGGCAAAGCTGAGGTTACTGAAGTTATCAAAGCAAGATTGCATCTATTTGCTCTACTTTCAGATGCATACAGACTGCTGTGTTTCTGTTACTACCACCATTTTATAGAACCCATATCAAAGCCTAATTATATTTTAAGCAA